GAGATCATTCATGTGTTGATCCAAGTGTTGAAACAAATGCTGTTTTGATGTGAATATCATCTGACAGTCAGTGACTCCACACCTGAAGACTGGGCTCTCAAACACGTGTTGGTTGTTGTCATCCATTGTTGGATCACTTCTTGTGTTTCATCTAATTATTGATCATTTGATGGACTCTTCAGTTGAAACTCATATTAAGTGCAAAACTAAACAACAATTGAATCAAAAAATGTAAACAAAAAATTCAATTCAATAGAGAAGTGAAGTGAATGTCTATAAATAACGTAAACATTTTTTATCATTCATTTCAATACAAAGTTTTTAATTATAAGTAATTTTATTAAAATTAAAAGAAATACAATATTTATATGAAAATTAAATAAATATAAAAATTGAATTAAATATTCAATTGTTTATTATTGTTGTTAATGGCGTCCAAACCAGTGATCAACTCATGTGATCACTACCTCCACAGCCATCGTCTCATTTTAATACCATTTATTCTTTAATTTAATGACTTAATGAAAACAATGTTATTATTAATTATTAAAATGCTATTAATTATTAAAATGCTATTAATTATACAATTACTAAATTTTTATTTATGAAAATATATATATATATTGAACATTAAATACAATTATAATTACAATTATGATTATATTTTGTGGACATGTTTCTTATGGAGCCGAACATTAGGCGCATAGTGTGTCCTAAACTCACATTCAGGCCAATCGCAGGCATACGGCTTGACGTTGTTGTGGACATTCATGTGGTCAGTGAGCGTCGGTTTAGAGGCAAACCGTTTGCCACATTCGGGGAATAAACACGCGAACAGTTTTTTATTTTTATGAGCGCCACCGCCGGTGTGCACATGCTTTTTGTGGACATACTTTATATGGGTATAAAGACTGCCCGGATTGGCTGACCTGTACTCACATTCCGGCCAATCGCACGCATAGGGCTTAACATTTTGGTGGACATTAATATGATATTTGAGTGTTTGCTTATTAGTAAACTGTTGACCACATTCAGGCCAATCGCACGGGTATTGTATCGTCCGGTTGGCCACCCCGTTGTGCATCGTTGGGTACATTTTGTGGGTTTGTATTTTATGTGACCAAACACTCGGCTGATAAGCGGTCCGATACTCACACGCGGGCCAATCACACGCGTATGGCTTCACGTTATTATGCATATTCACGTGATATTTAAGCAAATCTTTAGTGGTAAACCGTTTGCCACATTCGGGCCAATCGCAGGCATTTGGCCGGAAGTTGTTGTGCTTATTAGTGTGAAGATTGAGTTGATATTTAGTGACAAACCGTTGGCCACAATCGGGTAAATCACATGCAAATGGCTTAATATTGTTGTGTCTGTTTGTGTGGAGTTTGAGACCACTTTTAGTGTTGAACCGTTTGCCACATTGTGGCCAATGGCACGCGTGTGGCCTCACTTTGTTGTGGACGAGTTTATGACGAGTCAGTTGGGTTCCCCTATACTGACATCCGGGCCATTGGCAGCGCTGTATGTATTTGTATTTTTTGTCCGTCAGTTTGACAACCGGTGCCGACGACTGGCTTTGAAGATCACTCAATATCTTCAACAGCCGATTGCGTTCTCTAACTCGCGGTGTCTCGCAGTCATCGGCTGAGTGTGTCTTCAAG